CGGAGACAGTAATTTAACTGTTAATTGACCTTTTTTTTTCTTAAAAAATATATTTTAATTAATATTACCGTCTTCGTTGCTACTGTCTCCAGCAGTTATTTAACTGTCGGAGACAGTAATTAACTATTAATTGACTTTTTTTTTCTTTTTTTTTTTGAAATTTTGTTTTTTCTTAAAAAAGAATATTTTAATTAATATTATTGTCTTGGCTGCTACTGTCTCAGACAGTAATATTACTATTTGGGACAGTAATATTAGTAATATTACTGTTCGGAAATATAATATTCATAATATTACTGTCCCAAACAGTAATATTACTGCCTGAGACAATAATTTAGCAGCCAAGACAGTAATATTAATTAAAATAATCTTTTCTAAGAAAAAACAAAATTTAAAATAAAAAAATAAAAAAGGTTGTCAACGTCGGAATCTGGCCGGAAAAAAAAAATTCAGAAAAAAAAAAAAATTTCAAAAAATTATTATTTGGGGTTAATATGATATATTTGTTTAGATCCGAGGTCACGGTATAATATTAAGGAAGTTAGAGCATAATGGATGGAATTGATAAGAATTATATTATGGAGGGTATTTTAGACTAAAGACATGGGGATGTGTTTATTTGAAAGACTGTTTTTTTGTGGACCAATGTGCATTTAAATCCCTTGTGATGGACCTTTTTGTCATTCGCCCTAAAAATAAATTGTAATCTTTCATTGAATAAATTTTCCATAATTCAGGAATACTCAATTATTATTGAAGAAAAACTATCTGATTCCTAATGATTGTTCAACTAATTCCTAATGTATTTATTAATATTTAATTAATAACAACTTTATTGAGATGAAAATTTGTATGGTCTTAAGTCTTTAGTGTACATTCATAATACCCCAAATAATTTTTGTTTAAATAAAACCACATAAAAGACAATAATATATATTTTTGCAATCTATTTTATGCTCTACGCATACAAAAAATAAGGTTATCATAATCCACCAAGGCACCACCACCTACAACCATAAAAAATGTGGAGAATCAGACAGGAACCACCGGCAGCTACATAACATCTTATACCGATTTTTCAAGCGATAGCTCTTCGCATTTTGCGGTTTCAATAACGGCCAGCGATGCCGATATACACGGTGACGGGAATGAATTTAATAATTATTAGACAAATTACGAGAAAACTTCTGAGGTAAGGTCTAAATACAAAAACCCCCCTCATATTTGCGCGATTACAAAAAACCTCTGAGGTATGTTGTCGTCTTACACAGTCTCCCTACGGTGTTACTTTTAACGGAATCTTTTTTATTCCATGGAATATTCATCTGAAAAGGTCATTTTGGCCCTGTTGGGTAATTGTAAGCATATAAATTATTTAGGAGGCAAAATGTAATATATTTAAAAAATAAAAAAAAAAAAAAAAAAAAAAAAAAAAAAAAAAACCCGTAGTTCCTTTTAATTTTAAAATTGAAATTGATTTCTAAAGTTTATAATTATTAAAAATAGAAAATATTTTTAAAAGATTTAAGCATATCTCAAAACATTAAAAGTTTTTATTGGTTTGGAATTGAATTGGTTTAAAATTTAAAAATTGTTGGTCCAAAAAAACCAATTCCATCCGAAAAAATATTCACGTATTTGTTATTTTAGGTTAAAAATATTTTCATTATTTTTAATAAATTTCTAATAATATTTCAATTTTAAACAAATAAAATGCAAAAAGTTATATAAATATAAATAAGTTATAAAAAAAATATTATTTTATTCGTCGAAAGTAGCATCATAGAGTTGTGGCATGTGTAAGACGACAACACTTTGGGGGTTTTCGCACTTAAGCAACTATGGGGGGACTTTATTAATTAAACATTACCTCTGAGGGTTTCTCGTAATTTATCATTTATTACTTTTCAAATAACATAAGGGTAAAACGGAAAAGATACATTTTCTGGGAATTTAATCGGTCAAACGCTTGTCAGAAGGCGATTTTTGTAATTACACAAATATGAGGGTTTTTTTTAATTAGGCTTTACCTCATGAGGGCTTTCATAATTTGCCCTAATTATTATAAAGTATACATGTAATACTTATTTATTAATTATTTTTTATTTTACCTTTTTAAGTTGGCTTCTATTTGTTATATATTCATTTCTTAGGTGACTGATTTGACTTCAAATTTTCTAGATCACATAAGTATGTGTTAACAACAACATATATAATAACACCTGAGGCTGGACTCAAATTGTAAATTTGGACGCAGGTTCTCGAGATTTCAATACTTACAATTTTAATCGATAAATTTGGTAAGTTTCCTTTATATTGTTTCTTCAATAATTGAGGATTTTTTTGATTAATTTTGGAAGGTTTAGTTCCAGTTTGCACCTTCGAGATGTACCATTTTGACACTTTACATCGCTACAAAAAAAAATAATATCACGATCACCCTGACATATTTTAAGGTTAATGAAGACAATTTCATGTTTTAGTAGCATTTGTAAATCAAAATTTTCTTTTATGTGATAAATATATAATTCAAAAATAGAATTCTGATAAATAAATTACAATTTTTTTGTATATGTACCACTTTTTCGGAATTGGTAAAAAAATGATGATTTTTTTTGTATGAAGCGATATTTTTTATGTAGTTTGGTGAAAAATAGTTGAATGATGGAAAAGTAATAAATAAATTAATACTTTTTACACAGAAAATAAATATTTTTGTATGAGTGTAGTCATCGATGGTATTTTGATCTTTGCAATAGTATATATTTTTGTGGTGGAAAGTGTCAAGTTCAACTGTTTAGTTCTTCTCCCCACCATTCAACCATTTTCTCACTAAATTACTTAAAAATTTCCGCAAATTATACGTTTTTTCTTTTTGCTAAAACAATTGGCGTGCAATGTGAATGATTAGTTGTCTTTTGAGAGTGCAAGGTGCTATTAATATTTTCCGGGAGTGCAAAGTGCCGAATGGCTATATTTGGAATGCCAAGTGAAATAATTAAGTCATTTCGAAAAGAGAAAAAATGAAATGAAGTTGTAAAATCATCACAAAATTTCAATTATTTTGGCTAACATGTTTAGGGTTTAGGGTTAACATATACATCACTACAAATATTGTTAATTTACTCATTTTCTTGTGTTACAATTTCAATTTTGTGTTTCTCGGTTATGAATATGATCACATGCGTTGGGAATAGATGTTTCGTTGTGTTACATTATATTACAAAAAAATGTATAAAAATTAATCACGTCAGTGAAAAGCGCAATGATATTGATGACGCACAAAAAACTGTTATTTCGCTCACTCGAAATTAAGCAAGAAAAAGAAAAGGAAAAAAAATTCAGGGAAATGGATCAATGAAATCCATGTTCTTGCGAACTTTTGAGAATTTGTCTTGCTTACTATGTGAATGAGAAGTCTTCTGGACCTATAAATCAGGAAAATCAGTGTATTTGACTATGTTGCTTTTCCAATTCCACATAATTTCGGTAGAGCACTTGAACAACCAACTTTGTTTCATATATTTAAAAAAAATTCAACTCAGTCCCCAAATTGTAAGGTTATTATTGAAATAAGGAGATATATCCATAACTTACACTTTCACCCCTCAATTGGGATTTTCTTCATCGTTTCACCATTCTACAGTTTTAAAGGGGTTTTTAGGTATTGTTGCAAAAATTATTGTGATGTAATTTTTGGAGTTCGCTTCAAGATTTGAAAACAAAATTTAGATACAGAAAATAAAAAGTAATTAGTGGAACCGTGAATACAAATATAAATAGAAATTATATGAATCTAACAAAATGTTATATTATAATATTAAACAAAGTTGAATTATAAATACCTTAGTTTTTAACAGCCAATGAATTCTGTTTTCTAAAAGAAAAATAATGACAATAATAATCTATCTATTCAAGAAAATATGATAGTGTTCAAAGAAGAAGTTGCAAGAAAAAACTAATACATATAAGAAGAAACGGGTAAATAACATTTTCCAATGATGATCGATGTGCAAATAAAAATCAAGATGAAAGAAAATAAAAAAGTATTAAATGGAACCTTGAATATAAATATACATAGAAATTATGAATCTATACATACTGCAATATTAGACCAAGTTTGACTAATGAATAAGATCAATATACTCCAAAAAAATTTGATATTTTAATTTGTATTATTATTTTGATCGAATAATATGCCAAAAAAAAAACCGCTATTAAATTGACACAAGACGTGCAACGCATGTCCACCTTCCTAGTTCATTTAAAATGAAGAGAAGAATGCATTGTTTTTCAGCTCGATTTTAATTTGAACAATAGTTGGTCTCATGGATCCAAAACGTTTTCATAACTATTGGGGCAAACATTTCCTTTTACATTTTTACCAGAGAATGTTCAGAGTTCTTTGCTTATCAATCCTCAAGCATGCAGTTTAACATTTTGCAAGACACTTTGAAATTCAAGTTTTTACAATCAAGTTTTCCTTGTCGTGTCTTCGTTCCATAATGTTATTGTCTTATTTGGAATTGATGTTTGATCTTGTAATAGAATCAGCAATTCAAAATCATGGAAAGATAGCGAAAGAAGTGAAGTAGATTGCTAGGTTACAACACATAAACATAGTATATATGTTTACTCCGGGAATGTATTGATATGGAGGAGAGATGCTGGTACATGGAAAACAAAAGCCTCGATTCTATTTTGTTCAGTAAGTTGCCTAATTTGCAATATTAATTGCAATATAGCTGGAATTTGGTTTGTATAAGAGTTCGATGCTCGATTGGCAAATGCGATTCAACATCATATGCGGGATTGCAAGAGGGCTTCTTTCCCAAATTACGACAAATTACCAATCAGTATTCCTCATTCCCAGATCAAAACATTGTCAGGCAAAACTGAAGTACCCTGCACTGGATTTCCCCCAGTTCTGAATTGAGATACAACTTTAGCAACAAACTCTCATATCCAGAAGAACAGTATAAAAAAATTGTGCATGTTGACTAAGAATGAATTGTAATTATCAATCAAGGCAGTAGATATAGCAACAGAACTACATTACATGGTTAAGGAACTTGTAAACATAACATCTTAATTTTAGTTCCAACACTCAAAACCAAGAGAACAAAATCCAGAACCAAATTCCTCTTCTGGAACAATTTTTAGGATGTCGAACATACATCATCGCCACATCAAGATTGTAAATGAACCAGTGATTCTGGACCGTTTTCATAAAACAGTGTCAAAAAAAAAAAAAAAAAAAAAAAAGAAAAGAGAGAGAGAGAGGGACTAACGTAAAGTGCAAGAAATCAGTCCATAACCACTACTGCCCCTACAGCTTTCATCTTCTCAATAATTTTCTCGGCTTCTTCCTTAGAAACTCCCTTCTTAAGAACAGAAGGAGTTTTCTCAACCAAATCCTTAGCTTCCTTTAATCCCAAGTCTGTAAAACTCCGTATCTCTTTAATGACCTTGAGCTTTGAAGCTGCATCATAAGACTCAATCTTGAGCTCAAAGGCCGTCTTTTCGGGCTTCTTTTCTTCCTTAGCTGCTGCTGCTCCAGTATTATTCATGGCCACTCCAGCAGCACCTGGCTTCATTACACCAACAACAGGCATCTCCTTCATACCTAATTTCCTCATCATTATAGTAGAAAGCTCAGCAGTTTCAACGAGCGTGAGTCCAGATATTTCATCGACGAGACTCCATACCCTATCGGTTGGGGGACTACGATGCTCCGTAGGGTCAAAGTTTGCGGGATCATAATCAGCTGGGAGCCTTCTTTGGTCAATCTCTACTTCTTCATCTTCATCCTCCAACTTTGCCGCTTGACCAAAGTGTCTGATTGACTTAACGGAAAAAGGTGTGAAAGATTCATCTACACCACCAAATATGAAATATTTTATAAGCATTGAGAATCATGCTAAAACAACTTAACATAGCAGCCATGTAAAAAAAAAAGTTAGTGATGCAGAAAATGTAAAAAAGAGGCATCTTTATAGCAAGTATACCTTGGACCTTGCACATTTGACGAATCTGTAAGCCCGAAGTTACAAAATCACTGAGGCATGAAAACTAAATAATTTGATTCTATTCATGAATATCAAAGTAAAGCAACCTTCTCGATTCACATATGGACTCGGGAGCATAGAATCATTTCGACCACAAATTGAAAATCTTAGTTTTCAATAGAAATGCATACAACTGCTAATTAACTTTCAAAATCCATATTCGACCTAAATTTCACACAAGTCAGAAGCCAAAAATCTAGAAAATTAAATAAAAACGAAAGAAAATGGGGATATTTTCACGATTAGGGAAAGAGAGAAAAAGAGACCTGAGGACGGTGGAGAGAAGAAGTTCCGTGAATGATTGAGGAGAGCAGGGTCCACGGCGGCGGCGGCGGCGGCGGCGGCGGAGGAGGAGAGTATGGTGTTGTTGTGGGTGATGGAAGACGATCGAGCAGCTAAACGACGTAGTAAAATCAGGCTCATCATCCCTCTCATCTCGTCTTCCCCAAATTGCAACAAGGGCTTTCAGACTCGATTTCAACCTACAAAAGGAAACTTAGATTTGCACCAAAATCAAATAAAATTGGGGGCCCGCCTGTTAACGGGCTTTGGGCTTTTCATCTCTAAGTCAGCAAATTGGCAATCTCACATTTTTCAAGTTTTTAAACTTCATTTTTCCACTCTACTTTCCACAATTGTTTAAAGTAGAAATTTGTTATACGCCCCTCATTTTCGACTTTTATAGGTGGAGATGAATATAGCTCTAAGTCATTTGATATACACCCCTAATATGGAAAATAAATGGTCCACATCTAAAATCTTTCTTTAAGATACCCCTTGGAGAGGCAAAAGTACTATTGTGTCCTTATGTCCAATTTTCGCCCAACTGCATTTAGTAATTTCGCCAACTACATTCAGCATTATGGCAAACTACATTTAGCATTTTGGGCCCGACTTTTATCAATTTTACAGATTTTTTTAATAAAAAAATATAAATGTTTATTTTAATTATTTTTTTATATATACCCTCTTTTGTTCTTTTTTTTTTTAATTTTTAATTTTTTAATTTTTTAATTTTTAACTTTTTTAATTTTTCAATTTTTTAATTTATATATATTTTATTAATTCAAATTTTGATAAATTTACTGTACTGAAAGTATACTACACATGACTATAGTATACTACAAGTTATATGACTGTGTATAGTTTTATGTAGTCATTTACTGTCTTTTTGCCCCAAATTTCATCTACACCAACAAAAAAATTCACAATTTGGAGCTTGATATTATAAATCCACTAACCAACAAAAAATGAAAAAAAAAAACACAATCACATGCATATATTCTTCAAGCATGAACAAACATTACTGTACATTAAAAAACATATATCATACATATATGTGACTATAGTTATCTACAACTATCTATAGTTATGCATAGCGACATAATGTTCGGGGTACTGTAGCATGAATGCAACCTCATATGACACTTCTCTGCATCTTATTCTCTGCATCTCATAAAGTTATACAAATAGCAAAACATGTGAGAAAAATATACGTGTTAAAAAAACGAAGAACAAAAATGGAACACGCGAATTACATTACATGAAAAAATTTAAAATAAAAAAACAATGAAAAACATTTCTTTTGACAAATTTACTCTAGTGAACTATAATCTCATGTAGTGAACTCTAGTCACATGTAGTTATGTTCATTCTTGTTACTACATGTGACTCATCTACACCAGCAAAAGATTAATTTTCATCATATAAATGCAGTAAATATATACAAATCAAAATATATACAAACTAAAAAAATAAAAAATAAAAGCAAAACCTCTCACCACCGTTCTTCTCCGCCGCCCAATTCAAGGAAAACAATTCATCAAGTAATTCATCCAATTTATTAGGAAAAAGAATACCTAAACAATGGGGTAAATCATCAATTCTAATAAACTGGAAATAAAAAAAAAATTCACATAGTTCGGATTTAATACAAGTGTCCAACATCAATCCATGAAACAATCGAAAATTACAACAAATCACCTCATATTTTTCGAGGGATGAGTTTCAATCTTGCCAAGCCAGAAACTTGTGCGGCGGAATACGGATCTCGTTCGTTGATTCCGGCCGGAATACGGATCCTGTTCTCCGACAATATTAATCGTCGTCCAAATACGGATCCCGTGTGGCGGAATATGGGTCCCGTTCTCAGCGTGTGGAGCAGCGTCGGCGGGCGGCGTTGGGGAGAGCAGCAGCGGCGCAAGTCGAGGGAGGGGCAGAGGTGGGCCGCAGTGTTGTGGATAGAAAGAGAGAGAGTTAGAGAGAGATGAAGAGAGAGATGGGGAAATGAGGCTGAATGAGTGCGAGAGAAAATACTAGGGTTTGAATTGAATTGAAATTAAAAGGGTAAAACATGTACTTCAAATTGCTCAGGGGATCTCATTAATTAAGATTAAAATTTGAGTTTTTGACTAAGGTGGAAAAAATTATTAGATCTATCCCTATATATTTTCAAAACTAGGGAGCTATCCCACATTATCCCAATTTATTTTATGGCGATTTAAAGTCCTGATTTCAAAGTAAAATTTCAAGAAATAAAACTCCTAATTCAAATGAAAAGAATATAATTTCGAAAAAAAGTCAAGAATAAATTGTTATAGATGATTGATGCTATGTGGAAGAGGTTTATCACATTTCAAAGGTGCAGAATGCATACGTTTTACTTATCAAAAAAAAAGAATGCATACGTTTTTTTTTCTTTTGTTTTTTGGGTGCAAAATATAAAAATATGTACTATATATTTTGGGAGTGTACAGTAAAATTAAACCTTATCTTGAGCTATATGACTATAGGGTGTATATATAACGAGTATATATAAGTATATCTTATATAAAAAAAGAAAAGAGAATATATATAAGAATATCAAGTTGCAGAAATCGTCTACGTGAATGAATTTGTTTTTATTATGTTAGTTTTATTGTTAAAGAAGCATCTTTTGAAGTTGTGGGTGTTGAGAATCGGTCACGTGTACGCAGAGAAAAACAAAAAAAATATATGAAAAATAATTTCATTCATATAAACACATACTCGATAATAACAATTAATTACATACCTTAACGCTTCCAGCGAAATTTAAATAACAACATCCATATTCATTCGATAATTAAATCACATAGCATGCTCGCAGTAAATCGTAATTCATATACTGACGATTTCACGAAAATCGTTCAAGCAAAATCATACATACATAATTTCATGAAAACATTCAAGTAAAATCATACTGCGAATATCAATGTTTAATTTAATCTAATTAAATAAAAAATCTAATACATAACGGATTCGAAAAGTTACCTCTTGAAGTTTGAGGCGAGTTCTCGGATTGAAGCAAACTGCCACGGAAACCAATCTGTGAAGTCAGGAGGAGCAGCGGCAAAATAGCGGCGGCGGACGCGCGGATCAGCGGCGGCGCGTGAGATTCACGCGCTGTCTTCGGGCAACGCGTGAGGGCGCGTGCGTCGGTGGTTCGGCGGCGGCGTGTCGGCAGATTGACTCCTTTGTCTTCCTCCTCTCAGATTCACCTCGTATACCAAGTTCTACTAAATACGTGGCACTAGACACGCAAAAGTTAGAATTAACGGAAGAATAAATCAAAAAGGAATAGATCTACCAATGTAAATCGGCGCGTGGGGCACCGATTTCCGGCGACGGGGCGGTGACGGCAGATGAGAGGCAGCGGCCGTGTGTGAGGTGAGCGGCTAGGGTTTCGTGGTATGTGTTGTGTGTGTGCAAACCTATAAATCTTGTATTTATAGTGTCTTGTATAAAAGCCCTAACGGGCTTAAGTTGGACCGGGCCCAATAGCTTAAGTTCGTTAGTCTTTCTACTCGTTTCTCGCAACTCAGTGATTGGAAAATTATAACAATTATATTTTCGGAATCATTGAAACGTCCTCGTCATTACGAATGCCAATTCTCGATTTCCAATTTCTAAAAGTGGAAACCCTAATTCAGTGGACTTTCTAAATTTGGAAACTGCCCAATTTAGAAAGTTCACTAAGATGTTCGCCTAGTCTTTTCCTTTTCCTATTCTCATTCATAATTCCAATTTACGAATGTTGGACTCAATCATATTGACCTCCAATTATGCAAAGATTAAACATTTTTATCTTTGACCGTTTATTCAAAGAACTCGAGTGCACGAGCAGTGTGACCCTCGATGGTTCACGTGTAAGCTAGCCGTAGGTCCACAACTCTTTGTGGTTTAAACTCGTCCCTAGAGTTACAATTAAGAAGAAGCTCGTTTCAAATTAATCACCCAACGAATCAAGATTGCCGTCTAGCAACTACGCGTCATGATTACCTAGATACAAATGAAGTGTCTGCAAGAACCGTTTGATATAGTTAACGTACAGTACGATCCCTTCTATTCATATGTTCCGATTGAACTAAAGGCATATTGCTTCATCGAGACCTCCTTTGTAGTTCAATAACTGTGCGATCGTTCTAAGTATTGTAATCGGTACGTGCGTGACTTAGAGAATCGAATTCTCTAATCATCACTTAGTCAGCTCTGGCCAGAGACTTAAAGATTACAAACTATGAGAATACACAAGACATCCAAGACAATTCTAGCGATCGAATCCCCGCATACAATGCACAAACCTCCACTAGATTTCGGAGTGCACGAACACTGGTCCTTGGGGCGGTCCTCTGTGGAACTCAGGGACATGTTACGATACAGCTGGTCCTCTAGTGAAGTCACGGTGAAATACATATAATTTTTGTTATGACACTATATTATTTATTTATATAATTCATTTGACATTATTTATATAACTATTTTAATCATTTTACCTTGTATTTTTAGTTTTTATAAATTTATTGTAAGTCTATTTACATAAATGTACTAATGCCCCAGCAGTTAGAGAGGTCTCTAACTTGAAATCAACCAGGGTTTAGATCATTCTATTGTCATGTCTCCATATATTTGACATTTCTCCATATATTAATGTGTGTTTTTTAGTTCGGTGACCATTTTTGTTGTTTTTGAAAAACAAAATCGCACAAACCATACTAGTAGAAAAAATATTTTTTACTACGACCATTAACCGTAGCAAAATGTATCAAATTCGTAGCAAAAAGGCTTTTGTTATGCATTTGCTATGAATTTGCCCCGTAGCATATAGTCGAGTGACAAAAACTTTGCTACGGTAAACAGGTCGTAGCAAATATTTTTTTGCTACAGTAAATCCTAGCATTTACTACGACTCCAAGATTGTCCTATAGTAAAAGGTACCTTTTGTTACGACTTTTTTACTTCAGCAAAAAGAATGTAGTAATCTACTAGGGTCAATGTCCACATTTGCATGAAAATTGACATTTACGTGGCCATTATATTGTCAAAGGAAAAAAAAAAAGGAAAATAGTCAAATATCAACATCCTAGTGTCAAATATAATAGCAAGAATTCGACACTAAGATGTCTAGTTTTTTTGCAAAAACATGACATGTCGAAAATTTACCCTCAAAATCAACCTGCATATGTCGATCAACCACCCAAAAAATCGACATTTGCATGTCGATTTTCTAGGATCGTTAGTTTTAAAGGAAAAAAACCATTGTCTCCTTAAATCGTTGATTTTGAACATAAGTGACACAACTACTTTCTTAATGATTGAGACTTCTTAATGACATTTTGACAAAAAAAAATATCTATCAAAAAATATCTATTGTTACAAAAACCCTTTTCTATTTTTCATTTTTTTTGGAGATTTCAAAAACCTTTATTGTGAAGGTTTTTCTTGGTAACTGTGAAGGATTGCTCGATTCCAACAGTGGCGACGCTTGGGTGGCAAATGTTGCTCAGACGGTCATTCCATGGCCTTCCATGTTGAAAAATAGTCTTTTTTTTTTTTATAGTATTCCGTTCCTTATAGTTGATCTTCCACTTAGTGTAATTAGTATTTCAAATAGCCGCGGCTTAAAAATATAATTATTAAAAGAGAAAAAAAATGCAATATAGCTTATGGAGGATTAAAAAAAGGTGGAACATATAAAATACTTAATCTTCATACACTCCAATATCTTTTCGATCCCAAAGACATAGAGAGATTAGGAATTGAAAGTAATACAAAAAAGAACCCTAAAAGGATTCTAAAAGGAGAAGGAAATGAAAGTAATAATACAAAAAAGAATCGTAAAATGGAAAACACAATAGAAATGATTAGTAGCCGGCAGGCTTGTAGGCAATGAAACTGATGTCCTGGACTTGCTTCAGATTGTTGAATCCAATGATTCTAATGAAGCCCTCTGGGTATGCTTTGATTGCCTCGTCAAGCTCGTTCACTACCTGTACTGCGTCTGTGCATCCGAACATAGGCAACTTCCACATTGTCCAGTATCGTCCGTCATAGTATCCTGGGGAGCTGTTGTGCTGACGGTACACAAATCCGTGCTGCACATATATTTACAACTTTTTATATTTTTCATTTTTATTTATTCATTTTTAATTTTAAAATAAAGAAAATATATATATAGATCGAGAAATAATACCTCCAACTCGAACTCAATGCAAGGAATGAGCTTGTTGCGGAGAAGGTAATCAACTTCCTTGATGAGTTGCTCTCTGGTTAGAGGAGGTAGGTATGACAGTGTCTCGTACTTCTTGTTGTTCACTGTTGGCCACACCTAATCATTCAATTTCAAACATTTATATATCCATTTAATTAATTAGTTAACTATACATTATTAATAATTGAATTCAAATTAATGAAATGAATAAAATGTGGTACCTTCATGCAGGAGACTCTTCCACCGTTGGTGGCAATGGTGGTGATGTCAGCAGTCTTGCGGGTAGCGGGGAATGCGGAGGTGGACTTCAATCCGGTGAAAGGAGCAACCATGCTCGCTTGAGCTGCGGTGGCGCGGCTCACGGCGGCGGTGGCTGTGGTTGATACCATTGAGGCTGCCATTTCTCCTCTCTTTAATTTGCTTTTCTTTGCTTTAGAAGACACAAACAACAGTCGATGGAGAAATGCCTTGTTGCACCTCTCCCTTTATAATGCCAAACCCACCCCCTACCCTGTTTCTTCTTTCAACATTTCATCCAACGCTCCTTATTGAAACTTGTTTATTTTTAATTCATGTGGGCCGTTGGATCTGACCTGCCTCTACATTTCGATTTTATGACCACATAATAGATGGATTGCTTCCTTATCGCTTGAATCTATGAGGGAGTGACGCGTGGCAGTAACCTTATCTCATTTGAGGCGACAATTGTTTTTGAGGTTAATACTGCAAAATCCAACACAGCCCTTCCTTTCTTCATAGGAAGATGATGACTATTTTTATTTCTATTTTATTTTAGATATTTTTTCTGTCAACTTACATTACTAAACGACAACCTCAAATTTGAAATTTGTGAGCCACAATTGGATCAGAGGTCTTCGAGATACTTCTACTTGTTTATTTTATTTTATTACACTCTTAATATTCTGAATATATATCTTTTATTACTTTTTTTTTGGTAAATTTAACTTTTCATCCTTGTACTTTGGCTCGATATCACTTTACTCCTTCTACTTTTAATTGAATCGATTTTTGCCCTCCATGTACTTGAAATATTGTTTCAATGTGGCTATCGCCGTTAGTTTTTAGACATTTAACATTAACACCGTTTGATCTAAGTCTAAAAATTACAAAAAAATCACTCCTCCTAGTTTAAAAAATTAAAAAAAGTAAATTAAAAATAAATTGTGGATATCGTCATGGACTATGCTTTCTCGTTGTCTTGAATTTTTTATTATTACTTTTTTTGTTTTTTTTTTCTTTTTCGTTTTTTAATAATTATTTAAATTGGGAGGGGTGGTCTTTTTATAATTTCAGAGCTTAGACCAAACTGTGCTAAGGTCAAATGTCTGACAACTAACAACGAGGGTCACATTGAAATAATTTTTAAGTACAGGGGGACAAATCGATGCAATCAAAAATAGAAGAGGATAAAGTGACATCGAGCCAAAGTACAAGGAAAAAAGTGGAATTTTTTTTTTAATTAATTAAATTTTGGAGGAATAAATAATTACATCAGATTGGAACAATTATATAAAATAAATTAGTTTCAAATGTACTCATCAAATTTAGAACTCGTTTAGTTGTCACTATTAAGCCTTGTATGTAAATAGTATTCAATAAAATTAAGGGGTTATTTTACACATTCTTAGCTACCAAATAAATTAGGGATAAATTCAAGTTAAAATTATCCTTTGACATATTCAATGGAGAAAGTATTATATGCAATTTTTTGCCAAAACTGCATTCAGCATTTCTGGTCATACATTTAGCATTTTCACTGATTTAATTATTATTATTTTTCATTTTTTTATATAAACCTGTTTGTTTAATTTATATATATTTTTATTATTTTTTTTTTAATTTTTTTTATTTAACTTTTTTTAAAAAAAAACTGAATTAATTTTTTTTATGAAATATATGTTTATTGTACTGAAAATAACTACATGTAATTGTACTAAACAATAGTAATTCGTAGTTATGTTCTTTTTTTTAACCCGATATTTTTATTCGATCATTATGTATACACACGAATACTGGCTTATACAAAAGAAATTCATAAACCCCATTACAAATATCAATATTTATATTACAAATCACCTTAGAACCAATAAAATACAAATCGAAAATAGACAAATATATGCATATGTAACTACATTTTACTATATGTAACTATTATTGTATGGTAATGTACACAATCTGTTGAATATTGTAACTTGAAGCAGATATAACTTCAACAAAAATTTTGACACCTTCAAGTAGAGGATGAATGGTTTTCATTAAGATGCAATTGTAAAATCAAAAAAAAAAAAATTATTTTAGTGCAAATAACAAAAATTGAAGAACCATCAAAACACTCTAAAATAAACACACAGAGAGAGAGAGAGAGAGAGAGAGAGAGAGAGAGAGAGAGAGAGAGAGAGAGAGAGAGAGAGAGAGAGAGAGAGAGAGAGAGAGAGACCATAGCTACGAATTCTAAACCAAACCGCCAATGACTTCTCACCCCAATCGCCTCCTACCAAAACCCTAGCCGCCGCTAACCACCCAAGGTTCCGCGCTCACAAATGAAAAAGATTATAGAAATAAATCTGACAATATAAAAATGAATGAGATTACCATCAAAATATAGATCTCGGTGAAAGGAATCCAACGGTGGGTAGCCCGTCAAATTCCGACTAGCGGAATACAAAATACACCTCCGGCAAGACCTACCGTCGTCGAAATATGCGTCGACTGAAAAAAAAATTGCAGAAACAGATCCAGCGCTCCAAACTGAATGAAATCACCCCCAAAAGAAAGTGCTCGACGAGAGGAATCCAACGGTAGTTAAACCATCGAATTCCGACCATGTGAGAGAGAGTTATGACTCCGAGAAGCAACTTCGCCAGTTGGAGAGAGGCGGGATTTGAATCTGAGATTTGAGAGAGGAAGAGATAGACGACTGTGAGTGGCTAGGCTTTAAAACAGATTTTAAAAGGGCACATTAGTACTTCAGGGTGAGCAATGGGGGTCTGTCATATTAATTTCAAAATGGAGGGGTATGCACAAGGAATCAAGGATGTAATTAGTTTGGTGGTTAGTTATATATATTTTTCATATGAGGGGAGTCTCTAAAATAATCCATAAAATAAATAATGAGTGGTCTTATTTTTCACATCCAAAGTATCTCAATTCACCACCAAAGATTATAAAATATCATAAATTCCTCTCAAATTTATAATCTACCACCCTTCTTTATATTCACTTAATCTTCATGTGTTATTAGTTATTTCTATTTTTTTTTTTTTTTTTTTTTTGCAATAGAAATATTTATTACAAGATTATGTAAAAAAAAATTAGGAAACAAAATTATATTAAGCCAAACATGCCAATTCTGGAGGAAGTTCAAGATCTTTCATACAAACAATCTTAATTTATTTATCAAAAAATGTGAATTCCTGCTCTTTTTGACCTTCAAAAATGTTTTTCTTTTACGAAAGTATTATTCATTTAAGGTGGAGAGGGTGAGATTTTCAGTGAAAATTGTGGGGTTTTTTTATATAAATATTTTAATTATTTTAGTGGTAGATGGTTTATACTTTCGTAAAAAATATTGGTGTGAGAGAAGAAGAAAGAGGTAAAATGGGAAATATATCTAATTTAGTGGTGTGATAAAATATTTTGAAGGTGAAAATAGCACATCTCTTAATAATTAATCCCATCCAATGCCATTAATTTTGCAAGTATGATTTTATCTCTAATATATATATATCTTAGATATGATTACTTTAAAAGGAAAAATTAGCATAACCCCTTCATTTCAAAAAATCATATGAGGTAGAACCCTATTAAAAAAATAATTTGGAAAAACTCTCTCATATTTCTTTTTCGCAATTTTCTAATTTACCTTATGTTCTTTTGTAAAATTTGGATTAAACTGAACGCTAATCTACTATTGATTTATTAATCGATTGTAGTTGATTAAAATATTAAAACGTATATTAGATCTAATAAATTAACTATAAAAAAAACATAGTTGATTTATTAATAGACTATGCAAACAACATAGTCAATCAGCGTCCAGTTTAATCTAAATTTCTCGACAAAAACTAAATCGCCAATGTTCTGGACGTCCGCGGCCACAACCCCGCCGCCCTCCTCTGCAGCAAGTGGTACGCCCTGAAGCGTGCCACCCGCTTCGCCATCACCCTCCATAACCACTTCATGGTCCCTATCTGTTTCCGATCCATCTCCCACCTCGACCTCTCACTCCTCTCTTCTTGAAAAGAGTATGAGTTCATCTCAAAGAGTGATTTATTATTTGTGCATTTTCCTATTAATAAAATATTTGATGGGTTACGTCGAAGAGCCCCATTGTTGTATATAGAAATTGTCAAACTTTAGAAGAAGTTAACATCATTGAGTTGTAGGAAGGAAAACATTCATGCCATGTTTGAATAATTACTTAACTCACCAAGATTAATCTTTTTTTTTTTACAATAAACTAAATGACTACGTGGATCATTACAACCAATCTGCCACAAACATGGTTTTTGGATCAAGTAAATATTGTTATAAATTGATAAGTTAAAGATTAACTGATATGAAAACATACATGATCCATTACAAGGTTTTACCCATGTTTTTAAGCTATAGAATATGCAATAAGATGTTAGATAATAGTAAGAAAGTAGTAAATAGTTGGTAAATAGTTGGTAAATAGTTAGTCAATAGTGGGTGCTCTTCGAATATTTTAAAATATTTTTCCTTTTGAGAATTAATTTATGACTTATAGTGGTCCATATTTCTTAAACAGTTTACATATTGGATTAATTTGGTCCTGTAATTTTAGCATACCCCACCAAGTGTTTATTCAAAACTTTAGTATCCATTAAATGACCAGCCAATGGAAATATATCTTACAAATGAGCCACAAATTATTAATTGAAAAAGAACACAAGAATAGACCAGCCACCACCTTATGCTGATTGGTTCAAAATCATATTTGAATTTTTTTCTAATTTCTTGTCTTTTTTTTTTGTAAGTAAAAATTGTATTAAGAAAACGTAATAAAAAAAAAATCTAAAATCGGGAATTCCCGTCACAAAAGCAAGAAGAACGAATTAAATTTACATTTGGAAAAAAATTGCCCCAACTGGCAAGGTGATGAGCAGCGAAGTTGGTATTTCTTGGACAAAATTTGAAGCTCCATTCGGACCATAAGAACAAAAACTAGCGAATCTCCTCAATAAGAATTTTTGCTGACCAGTGGACGATTGAGGATTGATATGTAATTAAAAGAATTGCGTTGTGCAGTAATTTGTTTCGAAAATAACATTCTCAAGTTTGGCCTTGTTATGAAGTTACAAGCTTCCATCCAGGATTGCAGTAAATGCAAAGGAACACCACACCACAACACAACCAAAGGTTACAAGTAGTTGTGGTTCTTACTATGGGGGTTAAACGAAACCTATATACAATGATTATGAACATGAAAAAAAGAGGGAAAAGTGGAAATATAATGGATGGATCAAAATCACAGTGCAAATTAAAGAATGAATAAAATCAAGAAATAACTGAAACTATATATGCTCAACTATTGCCACCTTGGTTGGCATATTTTCTCAAACCTGAAACAAGATCACGAGTAGCTAAAGCTGAATACAACCGAATTGCTCATCAACGTCATAATTTACCAATTGTGTATCGTTATTATATATATATAAATATGTGTGTGGTCATACCAGTTGAGGGTCGTGGAACTCTACGCCTGTGGAAAACCAAGAGAAATACACTATTAGTAGTTGGTACTCGGTGAAGATTTAGTAAGATAAGAAAAGAAAAGTGGTTTGTATCAAGTAGGCATTTTTTGAGGCGCGGGCAAATAAGGCGAATGTGCTTACTTGTGTACGTTCCCAATTTGTCTTTCTTAATCAGGGAAGAGCCTCTCCATCAGTTTCTGTTTTGCAAAGATAAAAGTACACTATCAGATAAATCACTAAATTTCTCAGCACTATCTATCTGCACAACCACCTAAGTCATAAGATCTCAGCTTCAACCGCAAAAAAAAAATAATTAATATGGATATTTTCTGATGTTGAGAATCGTGATTATATATTTTTGTGAAATTGTTAACAAGTACCCGTAGAAGATGATACGTACCTCAATGAGGTGGTAGCCCGTTTCTCAGCATTGGTTCCATTTTTGGGATCTTTAAGAAGCTGCAGTGTCTCTATCTCCTCATCTTTCTTTGCTATGGTGTCTCTTAGAGATGAAACCTATTTATTACCCAAAAAATGTATCATATCATATATATTGTCTATTGTATAATAAATAATTATGATAATATAGAGACTTGTGAGCAAATAAATGGATACACTTAACAAAGTTCAGGGACATGTCAAATGAAACATAAATTTGGTTAAATTATTATTCGCAAGTTAGATAGCAGAAAAATAATAATCGTAATAATGTTGTGTTACCTGTTCCATCAACTCACGAACATCTTTGCCATCTTTGGAGCTTTTAGCTGCGCCGAGCTCAACACCAGATACCCTTTCAGCAAACTTCAATGTACTTAAGGTTTCACTAAACGAAGTTGCATCTGGATTCAGCTGCACAAACATAAGTGTCTTTGCCTGACCACCTGATCATTAACCACTTTTTTTCAATTACTCATTGCAATACCAATATTCGATATTCAATTAACTAACTTATATCAGAAGAATTATTAAAAAAAAAAAAAGCTATTATACATACCTAAGGAGCCCTGTAGGACTTGAGTGAGCTTGCTGTTGCGATAAGGAACGTGAGAATTCTTTTGTGCCAAAGCAAAGATGACATCACCAAGTGCGGATAATGATTTGTTTATATGCTGTGCCTCTTTAAGTCTGTCTCCAGTTACTTCCGAGCGGTCAATTCTTTCACTTCCAGCAAGATCTACTAAATGAAGACTGCCTCGTAGAGAAGAACCACTCTTTAGATCCAGCCCCCGCGCATGAATTGACACAATACTGTATTTATTCATACCCCACTAATTATATATATATATATATATATATATATATATATATATATATATATATATATATATATATATATATATATATATATATATATATATATATATATATATATATATATATATATATATATATATATATATATATATATATATATATATATATATATATATATATATATATATATATATATATATGCATCGATTGCATAATAATACAAGAATCTTGAAAAACAATAATTATAGAAATACCTGTGTGATCTACTACTTCTTTCATTCATGGCAGTCGAACTTTTGGCTCTATTATTCAGTCCAATATCCATAAGTTCCAAAACAGCTGAGGTTGATTTTACCACATGAATGCTAGCATCTGGCACTGCCAAACCATTGGGTTGCGACGTTGACAAAATCCCGAGTGTGTGCAAGTCAAGGATAACAAGTATTTTTGATGCAACATGTATGTAATAACCAATAATGGATCAAAATTTAGTGTCAAAAAATATGAGATTGGAAACATAATAATTTTAAATAGAGGATATCTTTTTGCTGAACCGTCGTTTTTTACGAGCAAATCACGGACTTGTTCGTTATATATTTCCACTATCTGGACGGAAATTTCATATGTAAAGTTGCTCTCCCTACTCTGTGAAATACGGAAAAGATTGTTTAAAGCCCGATAATTAACCCCCCATTCTTCTTCCGTTGCTCCATCAGGTCCAGTCTGGAGAGACAAAGAATTCATTCACTTAACAAAAAATAAATAATTATAAGTTGAAATTATAAACCTATTTATAGTTAGTTTCATACCATGGTGTAGGTCTTCCCTGAACCAGTCTGACCATACGCAAATATACATACGTTGTATCCATCCAAAACAGATTGTACTAACGGTTGTGTGTCTGAAAATACTTCAGCTGCAGATAATACGAAATTTATGTCAATAAGAAATAACATACATAGAGATAAACTAATTAGTACCGTCTTTTTATTAATGAAGATATAAAATAAAATAAACCTTGTGTTGCTGCTGGGCTGTACACTTTATCGAATTTGAAGGAGCGGCGTCCTTCTTTGCCTTGTTTTGATGGATTCGAAACTATTAGCTCACCATTGTCTCCAACGTACTCAATAATCGAACTTTTCCCTTTCTGCCCCGGGAGAAATGGCCTTATCCGGCAATACACCCTAATATTTCCTATTCAAATCAACACGTGAGGAAATACACCAATTTAGTGTGTGTGCGTGTGTGTTCTTTTTTATGTTCAACTATGTCAACAATAATGTGTCACCTTTTAGCTCTTGTAGTTCATTGTGCAGCTTTCGATTTTCAGCAAGGACTGAATAATAGTTCTTTGCTGCATCGTCTAGAGTCTTGATCCTTGACCCTGTTACGACGATTAGTGTGAGTCGCAATGTATAAATATATATTTCATCCGATTAAAAAAAAGAAAATAGAATTACCTAAAGTAGTGAATTCTTCTGAATAGCTTTTCTTCGTTTTCAAAATTTCTTGGTGTATCGACTGAGATGAAAATTTTAGTTCCTGAAATGAAATACATGAAAATAAGAATGAAATTACTTAATCCAAGAAAAAAGTGATACATAAAGGTAAGATGGTAGAGAGAGAGAGAAGCATTACACGTAGTGCACCGAGCTGAAATTCGGTGAATATATGGTAGATATTTTCTTTCTTCTTCCACCATTCAGATTTGGATTCAAGGGATGCCTCAACCTCCATAACTCTATTTCTTGACTGTGTTAGCAAACTTGCAGTCTCGTTTAACTTATCTTCAAGCTCCCTCACTTGATTTGTCGACTCTGTTTCTAAGCTTGCCCTCTCTTTTAACCTCTCTTTAAGCTCCTTCACTTTATTTGTTGACTCTGCTTGCAAGATTTCAGCCTCTTTCAACCTGTCTTCAAGCTCCTTAACTTTATTTGCCGACTCGGTTTGCAAGATGACAGACTCTTTTAACCTATCTTCGAGCTCCTTCACTTTATTTGTGGACTCTGTTTGTAAGCTTAGAGTTAGTTTTAACCTATCCTCAAGTTCCTTAACTCTATTTGTTGACTCCTCGGTTAGTAAACTTTGAGACTCTTTAGATGTATCGTTGAGCTGTAGTTGTTGAGCTTGAGCTTGAGCTTGAGCTTGAGCTTGAGATTCAGCTTGGGATGTCTTAGCTATATCTTGGAGCTGTTGCTTAAGATTTGATATCTCTTGATTAAGGTCGTCTTTCTCTTTCATCAGTCTTGCCATTTCTTGTTCCTCCGCTTTCTTTTTCTCTTCTATTTTGTTTTTCTCATTCTGCATTTTTTGGAGCAGATGAATACAATATTTAAGCATGCAAAACCCAAAACTACATGTAAATAAAATTCACTATCACCAGAATTACATGCTTGTATTCAATTCTTATTGTAATAACAGGTAATGTTTTTGCACACGAATTACGAATCTTGATTACATTCAACAATTTTTTCCTTCCTTAATTTGATGCTCGTCGTCTATAAGCAGCTAAATCATATGAACTTGAAGATAACAGTCATACAGTGAAGAAATTGAATTACCTTGATCTGTTGGAGCTGGTTCATAACAATCTGCCAAAAAAACAAAAAAAATCAATTTTGGCGAATTGGTTATGCAATTTATATAAACATGTACTTACATAAATTTGAATACATACATTATGGCGAAATACGAAGCCTTACTATTATACCTGTGTCTCGTCACTAGTCCCTGTTGCAAGGGCTTCAAGAACTCTAATTCTAGATTGGTACTTCTCCTCCCGAGCTTTAAAAATATTATTTTGCTGCAGGATAAATTAAAAAAAAAAAAGAAGAAGAAGAATGAGCGCATGTTTCGGGCTAATGAATATAATAATCATTAAACAACCGGACCCCACATGATAAAATACATTACCGTTCGAAGATGCTCTGCTTGAGTACATATTCGACGTTCAATCTCCTGCACAACTTTTCTCAATAGGCAAGCTACACGCTGAACAATTACAAAGCCAATAATCTGTTTGTTAGACCTTTAAAAGTTTTTGGATTCTAATAAAAAAAAAATCTTTTTAATCTCTTAATACATACATGAGGTATTTCTCCATTCTTCTGCTCAATGCTTTCATCTAAAATACCATTGATCACACTTAATAGCGACTGCGTTGGAGAATTCTGCATCACATATACATATTTATACATACAAAACTTTTAAAGTCAATTTTAGGAACACTTGGCGGGAAAAAAAAATTAAATAATTTAGGAAATCACTTACATCAAAGCTGTTGGATTTCATCATTTCTGAAATATTTGCATCCGTATAAGATACTTGTTTAAACTGAAAGACTTCATGAAACTTATGACCAACGTGATTTATAAGCGCAGCTGATGGCTCTACAACATTCCAATTTAAACAATCAATTTAGTTATATATATATATAACTTCTTACACACTGATTTGGAGACAAGAGAAAAAAAAAAAAGACCTGTCTTAATAGGACTACGTAAAGCACGCTGAAATTTAGACTCTGGAGCAAACTTTCGTCTGTCTTCTCCAAAAGGTGGGGAAGAGAGAAACCGTCTTGAACTCAAATCAGTTCCATTACTATTATGTCTCTCGGCATTCAGTGTAAATTGCGTCTGTAATGTTAATAGGCAGTCCAACACTATTTTCATCGATCCCTACAACAAAATTGCGACTAAATCAATCAATTAATTAATTTCACCACGAGAAAAAAAAAATATTTATCATCTCCATTCCATTAAAGTGTAATCAATCACCTTTTCCAACTCTGCCGCCTGAAACCTCGGTAACCCCATTTCATCCATTGCTAACAAAAACCTCTGTACGTTTTCTTGCCGCGTTTGTGAAGAACGAATAGAACCACCACCACACTAACATTTATAAATAATAATTAAAATTAATAATAATAATAATTAAAAATAATAATAATAAACTAGGAGGTACCTCAGGCACGGAAGCAGGTTTTAGTTTGTTTAGTAATCGACATAAAACAGATCCATCAACCAAGAATGCTCGTAATTCTTCGTCTGAAGCATTTATTGGCAAACTTAAATCAGGCAGAATACCATTTAACCATTCTACTGCAGATGCTCGCTGCTTAGCTGTACACACAAAACAAAAAACTCGAAGTGAATATATTCAGATTAGGTAAATGATCGCAAGAGTAAAATAATATTTGTACCATTGTTACTTGAAGTGGGTTCAAACACATCACTGTTGGTAGACGAAACACTTGAGCTGCGAAATCTATAATAATCTTTTACTTGTGGATCCATGACGTCACTATATTCTGATAGTCCACACTGAAATGCTGCAGCGTTCATCTTATTATTATTAATATCAGTTTAAACATCCAAATATATAATAAATAAATATGACAACGGTAGCATTTATTCAACTCGATGACATGTTACTATAACATTACAACGGCAGGGCTCGATTGGAAAAGGAGAAAACCTGTCCGTACGATAACAATCTCAATTTTTAAAACAATGGAAGAAATAAAAAATGGCCCAATCTTCCCCGATTCTCTATGCTGAATTGCGTATCGGAGACATATTAGGAATAACAGATACTCTGATTTGAACTAAAAAGATTAATTAATTGTGACGGAAAGTGGTACGATCCGAATAAAAAACAGATACTCTTGTAGCATATTTCAAATCCTTAAAAAACCATGTTAAGCCATTTGAATTAGCTACATTAGGGAAATTTTCTCTAATTATGTTCTGTTCCATTTGTAGGATAAATTAAATAAAATATAACTAATTCACAGACCAAATACAAATTTCACCATTCCGTAATAGAAATTCTTGCCCCCGGTTTTACAATATCAATTTGTTTTTCTTTTTTTTTTCCCCCTGTCTAGAAAACCAGATCAACAAATAAATAAATCACAAAAAAATAAAATAAAAATAATTATATGAAATATTCACAAACCTGATATTCAATCATTAAGTGAATTGAAATGTGTATAGAAACAAATCAATCCTTGTTCAGTTGTTCAGCAAAAGGAATCTGCAGTTAAAGAAAGAATTAGTGCTTAATCAACATAACAAAATTCCGTGTAGCCTGCAAGAAATTGTGACAACCTCAAAATAAAATGAAAGCAAATGTAATAAATTGGGGAAAACGGAATCGCCCATGCACAACAATCACACTCAACAAAAAAAAGAGGCGAAGTTTCAATTTCATGCAATTTCGAAAAATGAAGGACAACCCAGATAAACAAGTTAACAGTAGATTAACAGAGAAGGAAACGCAAAGACTTTGTCAATCAATTTAATTTTTAGGAATTAAATTATTTGGAAAGTGTCAACACAACACAACACAACGTGACGTTGCAAGAAATTGAAAAGGCGTAAACCTACGCACGTTCTTGTATTCAACATGGGGATATTAAAAAATAAAAGCTTTGTTTTGACATTTTCCTTTTTTTTCCTTTTTCCAGCGAATCTGGAATCCATATCCAGTGTTGAAGTATGTGTGTGTGTGTGTGTGTGTTTTTTAACATTTTGATGGATGGATGGCTGATCTTCCGTATGCCGTTGGGGTTCTATGAGAGGTCAATAGCCTGTCCATTTTCCTTCAACTTAGGGGATCTATATAGTCTCTATACGTTCATACTTTTTTATGCATTTTTACTCATTATAATCAAGTATCTTGCTCAATAATTTAATTCATTTAAATACAAGTATTTGGTCAAAACATTGCAGTTTGCACACAATTATCCCTCCATAGTAATTATAAACAAGGGTAAATTACAACTTCTCACTATGGTCAAATTATGAAAAATCCCTCATGTTTGGATTATTACAACTACCCCTCAACTATAAATGTTCTTACACGTCCAAAAATGAAAAATCCCTCATGTTTGGTGTCAAATTCAACATAGTCTTCTAGATTTCGTGGAATGATTAAATTACGAAAAACCTCTCATGTTTGGATTATTACAACTACCCCTCAACTATAAATGTTCTTACACGTCCACCCTTATGGTGTCAAGTTCAACATAATCTTCAAGATTTCGTGGAATGTTCTCTAGTTTGTACTCATTTGTACAAAAATGCAATCTGTGATGCACCATAATCTAATATTTACAAGCCAAAAAGCACATCTTATGATCATCTTGCTTCAAAATGTGGAGTTCGAATGGAATAAAATGGGTACAAAATTGAGAATATTTTGTATAATCTAAAAGATTCCACTAAATTTGACACCGCAAGGGTGGACGTGTAAGAAGATTTATAATTGAGGAGGTTGTAATTACCCAAAGGGGAGGGGATTTTCGTAATTTGACCACACATCCAGGGGTGGTTGTAATTTACCCTTAAAAGAAATTAAAATGATAATAAGACAATGTTTGTTTATAAAAGGAGGATATTTTGACCTATAACCCTAGATGTAGCCCTAGGGGCAATATTTTCATTTCATATTTTCAGTTTTATTTTTAATATTACCTCCCACTACAAGAATATTCTCATATCTGACCCCACTACTCAAGTCGGTTATTTCTAATTTTTCTTTTCTGAACAATTTTCGTAGCCCTAGGTGTTTCTCAGTAATTTCGTAGCTCTTTGCTTTTCCCGGGCGGCTTTTTAGTTTTTACTATGGTATATTAACTAATACACAACTTCTTAGTTCACACGATAACATCACGATCATTTTAGATGGAAGAAACTACTCCATCCATCGCCAATATATTCTCCTTTTATTCTTCGTTCTCTCATCCCCCTCATGTCGACATTTTCGAGCTAGTTTACTGTTTTATTTAAGAAATGTACGATATATAAGTTTTTTCCTGGTCGATTTATTTCAATTTCAATGTGGTGGATGACTTTGAGGGTCCATTTTCCCTTGGGTTGTTTTGCATTCCTTAATTAGTGTTTTTAGCACATTCATTTATACGAATTATGATTATTTTTAGCTTTCTATGCTTTTTTTATGACTATTTTTCCTTTTTTTTTTTTTTTTTTTTTTTCCTCATTTTCCCCCTCTTGGCTTGTTTTCCTCAGCAAAAACTAACTCTGCACAATCCAACTAGATAAACCGCTGGCATCTCCATCTCCCCCACGTGTGGGGAAAAAACGCACACACAAAGATGGCAAAACTTTGTTTAAGAATGTGGCAAGATGAGAAGTTGCATTCAAATCACCAAAGTACTAGAGAAATATGCTTACTTTTGATTTTTCAACATTATTTTATTTATTTATTGATTGATTTGAACAGTATGTGTTGTCAGGAACTTATCGTGTCAAAATGACAATATTCATTTATCATCGATCGCCGGGATGCTGCATTAGTCACATTCATATCCCTTCGTAATGGCTTTAAGAGCAATACTACAAAATAAAAATATTTACGTCAGTACAAGATTTAGTTGACATTTTGACGGATTTTGATTCAAATGAATACTCTATTTGCATCATGGTTGCATGAAGAAGTTCGTTTTTTATTCATTGCATAATTTTAAATTTATTGTTACAACTGTTGTTTCTTATTTTCTTCAAAATAGTTGTCAATATCTCACATGAGTTTATTTTACTTTCTGTCAAAAAAATTTGATTTTGGTAAAGATACATTAGTTCAATAATGTTTCAGGTGTTCTTCATTATCATACGAGTTAGGCTTACTGTACAACTTTTTTGATAATGCTAGTTATCATACGAGGGCTTACTGTACAATTTTCAATTCTCTATTGTCTTCGGCCACTAAATTTCAATGTCCTCCGTAGATGTTGAATGACTCTCGAGCAGACCTTTTCTACAAATTTTAATCGAGCTACTAAGAAATTTGAGACAAAATCGAGGGCAAAAGTAGTAGAATGAAAATGGGATTTTGGTTCTAGCTAAATTAATTTTATTTTTCTTTTCTTTATTCAAAACAAATTTTAATTAACCATATATATTTAATATATCGTATATTTATTCGTTAGTTAGTATTTTATTATTTAATATATTATTTAAGTATTATTTTAATTAGTAGTTTATTGATAATTAGATTAGATTAGTATATTTAGATTAATATATGGCGTGAGTAGTAGTGATTAGGGAATTATTAAGTATTTTATTAGTATAGGTAATTATCTTTCCTAGTTAGATTAGGATTCTAGGGTTTTGATTCTCTTTAAATAGCCGTATTGTGCTAGGGTTTTGATAATGCAGAGAAATAATAAACAAGAGTTTTCTTACGTTTAGTAAAGAAATCTTATGATACTCAAGAGATCGCATCAATTGGTATCAGAGCGAAGTTGCGATTAACACCAACGCTTCGTTAGCAAGGCAGAGATTATATCAAAGCTACGCTGGAGCAAAGTTGAGATTACATCAACACTTTGCGAAATTATGTCGTCCGAGAGAAAACGTTTAGAGCGATTGGAAAAATCCGTGGAGGAGATACGGATTGGTCTCCAAAAACTGCTCGAACAAAGTCAAGGACGGCGCCAACATAAGAGCCGAAGAGACCGCCACCGCCGACCAACAACACCACTACCGCCGCTGCCGCTGCCGAGCCTATCGCCGGAGGAAGAGGAAGAGGACGACGATGAATTTTTCGAAGAACCCCAATTGTTTGTGAGTTCGCCGAAAGAAGAAGAATCGGATTCAACTGAGATAAAGTGGGACGACGAGCCGAAAGAAGAATTATCGGAATCCACTGAGATAAAGTGGGACGAAGAGCCGAAAGAAGAAGAATCGGAGTCAACTGAGATAAAGTGGGACGAAGACAAGAAATTAACGAAGGAGGAGAACAAAAAATTGCATGAAATTTTGAAAGAATTTCATAATTTTAAGGAAGATCCAATTTTGCATAATGAGAATTCGGTGGAATTAGTTGTTTATTGTGAAGAAAAATACCACTCCAAGTTATCTAGTTTTTGTTTGGCTAAAGTGGATCACTTTGGAGACCAAGTTCATGATTCCACCGAGAGAGATGACTTCACTCATAAAATCAAGAAAGATAGTCACGTGCTTGTGAAAATTGGTCAAACAAAGGAATACATCTTTCTCGGAAAGAAAGTCGCTGAAGTCAAACATAGGTGGAAACGCAAAAAAGAGGGACCAAATTGACTCGAACCTTGAGGACAAGGTTCATTTCAAGAGGGGTGGTTTGATACGATATATATTTAATATATCGTATATTTATTCGTTAGTTAGTATTTTATTATTTAATATATTATTTAAGTATTATTTTAATTAGTAGTTTATTGATAATTAGATTAGATTAGTATATTTAGATTAATATATGGCGTGAGTAGTAGTGATTAGGGAATTATTAAGTATTTTATTAGTATAGGTAATTATCTTTCCTAGTTAGATTAGGATTCTAGGGTTTTGATTCTCTTTAAATAGCCGTATTGTGCTAGGGTTTTGATAATGCAGAGAAATAATAAACAAGAGTTTTCTTACGTTTAGTAAAGAAATCTTATGATACTCAAGAGATCGCATCACAGTCGTGGTGGCGGTGGTTTGGTTGGGAGAGATCGAGGGATCGTCCGACATTATAAGTGAAGAAATGGAGAAAAACAAATGATAATTATGGATCAGAGATGTCGTGAGGCTAATGGTTGTGATACCATAAAAGGATATCCCAAGTTAGGAGTTTTCACTTTTCATTGATGTATATGTGAGTATATATATATATATATATAGGAGGATTGATTCAATGAGAATCAATCAAGTAATTACAATCACGGTCGATCAACATAAAATATACAGTATGAACCGTGATCTAAGGTATTGTTTATAAAAGAAAAAACTAATTCAGAAGGATGATTTACATAATTAAGAGCGTGATATATTCTCAATAATGGCCTGGTGTCTAATGGCGACAGTGATGTTATCAAGTCCACGCATTCAAACATTCCAAGCACGAGAATTAAACTGAAAATTAAATCACATGCATAAAAATAAAACATAGTACAAAATATCCACTACGGGATTCGATTAAATCCTATAATGAAATCTACCTACGTATAGTTCCATCAAAATCAATAAACAATATTTGTTGGATGCAATAATCAATAAATTAAAAGAAGAGAAATATAAACTCTATGAATAACAGAAGGCGAACATTCTCCTTGTCATGTTGTCTTCATTCCGCCAACGATTAAATTCTGTGTTGCCTGTTCCTATTCGTTTCACACTAAGCTCTAGATGAGTGTTCCTCGCTCTTTTCATTTTTAGGGTTTATAACCGCTCTCAAGGTTGGTTGTTGTGTGTCAAAAGTGTCTCCGCCGAAATAAAGTCCTAACTCGAGTGTATATTTGTTGGGACAGTAGACTAAAAGTCTCTCACATTTATCTACATAATTTTAGTATTAATTTAATGAAATAGTATAATATCATTTTATGAGAATATGCATTATGGCATTCAATGCATTTAACTAATATTTAAACAATTACACGAGTCTAATATTCTAATCATATTCGAATTGGTGTGCTGATTTTGATATAACACATAAGATCATTTTGAAAGTTCGTTTTATAATATAAATTAAATTATTCACAATCTAAATGGAATTGAACTAACCATCGAGAAAGATTGTAGCACAATGTATTTAATAATATATTTAAGTGATCTGTCTTGATTACGATAGATATAGAATATTTTTTATAGTTATTATTTTGACTTATTGT